GCGTCCCGGGCCCCGCCGCCGCGATGCGCGCCGTCCTGCCGCTGCTCTGCGCCGCGTTCTGGCTGCTGCGCGCGCCCGCGCTGTCGCTGCGCCGCTCAGGTGCGCCGGGGACCCGGGAGGACGGGGGCGCACGGGCGAGGTGGCGGAGGGGGCGTCTTGCGTGACCGGCGGGGCAGGGCGCCGGTGTCCAGGGTCCCCCTTGCCAGGCGGCGGCCGAGCCTGGAAATCGCGCGGCAGCCAGCGGCCCTTCTGCCTCCCGGCTGGACGGAGGGCTCTGACCGGTCCCTGCCAGCGGCCAGCAGGGACTTTCTGGACTTTCTGGCAGCTTCTCCGGGGACTTGGCACACGGGGGTCCCCACAGGTGCCTCGCGAGGCCGCCCATCTGCAGAGCCGCTTGCACGGCGGTGTGGGGGAGGGGCCTGTGCGACCAAGGGAGGGTCGGACCCGCCCCAGCTCTGCGCCCCCCTCCCCGGGCCGCGGTGCGAGGTCCGAGCACGGGACTCCCCGCTTTCGCCGGGTCAGCTCCAACGCACCCGGCTTCTCGCCCTCGCGCCGCTTCCACTGCTGCGTCCAGGAGCCGCCTCTTCCCTGCAGGCTCCCTGCCCGCCTGGCCCGCAGGCTCTGAGCTCGGGAGACCCCGGCCCTCCTCGCCGAGGGATGAGGGATGGAGACCCAGCACAGGCTGCCTGGCGAGGACTGGCCGGGCTCAGCTCCAGAGCAGGGCTCAGCAAACGTTTCTTCTGTGATGGACCAGCTTGTAAATGTGTTTGGCTCTGCGGGCGGTACGGTCTCTGTAGTGACTGTTTACTCTGCCGTTGTAGGGCGACAGCAGCCATAGGCGTGCAAGGGAATGCGAGTGATTGTGTCCTGATAACCGTTTTATGTGGATGCTGAAATTTGAGTTTCAAATGATTTTCAGATGCTACAACATATTATTTTTTCCCTAACAATTTAAAAGTGTTAATAACCATTTGTAGTTCATGTAGAAAAACAAGCAGCATGGCCAGGTGCAGCGGCTCATGCCTGTTAATCCCAGCCAAGGCAGGAGGCCAAGGCAAGAGGATCACCTGAGGCCAGGAGTTCGAGACCAGCCTGGGCAACATAGCGAGACCCCCCCCTGTCTCTACCCAAAAACCCCAGACAGATGGCAAGCTATAGTTTTCTAACCACTGCTCTGGATACTTCCCAGACAGTCCCCAGGTGGGGTGCACATAGGGTACTTGCAAAAGTCACAGCTGGACCAGAACTGGTCTGTGTGATGTTGGGGCGTGGGTTACCAGCAGATCCTCTGGCCCTGCCCTGGGTCATCTCTGCCCGTTCTTCTGCTGGCCTGAGAATGAGAAGCAGTTGGGGGAGGGGGTGTCACCAGAGGTAATCGCGTCCGCAGGTTCTTTTGAAATTCCCCAGAGGCAAATGCTAGTCTGTTGTTCTAAACCCCACCCTGCCTCAAACCCTGGTCCCAAATCAAGGTCTCTTCCTCTGCAGCCCTGGGCTGCAGCAGGCCCCTCACCAGGATGGGGAATCCCCTAAAACTCTCAAGAGATGAGGACCGGGGAACGTGTATTTTCCCTCCCAGGAAAATAGCCACAGCTTGGTTTCTGGAATAGGTCTGGGAGCCAGAAAGGGGGATCTGAGTGCTGTACAGCCATGATCCGCACATTAGGGGTGGGGGCGGGTCCCTGGGGAGCACGGAGACTTTCCAGGGGTTGCCGGCACAGTTAGTGTTCTGGGAATCACTTTCCAGACCGTTTACTTCCAAATGTCCTCTTTGCTAAAACTGAGGGCAGGGGTGGGGAGGGGTGGGGGGGGCACTGCTTTCCTCTCATCCATCCTGGACCTGGACCTGGACCTGAACCTGAACCAATGGCTATGAAACCGCAGGGGCAACGAACAAGAAGACCAGGGGTAACAAATCCTTCTTCAAGTGGGGTGGTCTCAGTTCCTCAAGGAAAGCGAAATTGAAGGATAGAGGGCCTCACGCAGGTATCAGCTGATGGCGCCTTAGATATAACATTGTGTGACAGGCACCACGTGATCTGAGGCAGAGGAAGGAGCAAAGAATCGGAAAAACTGCCTTCCATTGCCCGCTGCTTATCTGAGCAGGACTTCCCAGCCCTTCTCCCAATAACAAACAAAAATAAGACCAGAATTCATGCTGAACCCTGTCTCAATCAAACGATAGGTAGCATTCACCCATGGACGTATAAATCTGGGGAGGGAGTGAAGTCCTAGTAATCTCACTAAGAGATGCATTCCCAGCGTGATTTTATTTTTATGTTTAACAATTATGTTTCGTAATGTGTATCCGAAATGTTTCAATCAGTTGACGCACTAATAATAATTATGGTGACTCAATCCAGAATAACTTTTGATGATACTCAGATATGCCTCGGTCCCAGGAAGTAAAAATAATTGAAATTTATACTTGTTGCAGAAACGAATGCTAAGGTGATCGAGTGTGAAAATGTATGCTCCCTTGGGGTAAATTTCTGTGAAGTGAGGCAGATAGGTTTTCAGGGACAAAAAGAAACTATGTAAAATATATGAGTCTTATAGAAGAGTTTGTTCAAGTTATTGATGGCGTGTATCAAATCATTATGGCATTCCATTGGCTAGCTTTAACAGAATGACGTAACAGTCTTATTTTAAATGTCAATATTTATAGTAATTTGGAGTACATACTTTGCAGCCATTCAAATCTAAAATGAAATTTCTAATTTAGATAAGAATGTACAAGAAGAGCTCGAGCAGGAATCTAAAAGCAACTGGCCGGCCTGTTTCTGTAGTTTTGTTTTGTTTCCTTTTCATTGATACATTCTATTCGTGCCTATTTATGGGGCAGTGTGATACTTTGTTTCTGTGAAGTTTCGTGGGAACACAGTCCCGCCCATTCATTTTTGCACTGTCTGTGGCTGCTTCTGAGCTGTAAGGGCAGATTGAGCAGTTGTGACCATATAGGCTGCAATGCCTAAGATACTTACCCTCTGCTTCCTTTAAGAAAAAAATTGCTGGCCCTTCGGGTATATGCGTTTTTTAATTAACTTCTTATTGAAATATATCATCATACAGAAAAGTGCACAACTCATTAAGTATGCATTTCAATGAATTTTCACGATCTAAACACGCTCGTGTGACTAGCACGCAGGTGAAGAAACATCACCAGCACCCCAGAAGCCCCCCGGTACTACGGGTAACCACTGTCCTGACTTTTAACACCATAGATTGATAGTATATAGTTTTTCAAAATTCACTTGGGGTACAAAAGCAGAAAGAGTTTCAGTTCCTTGTTATATTCTGCATCATGTGACACCATTTTCGGCGTTTTAAACTTAGCCTAGTTTTCTGAAATGCAAACCAGCTCTGTAGACGCAGCATCACCATGAGGGATCCAGGCCTAACTGTTTTTTCCCTTTTTACAGAGAAGTTTCACTTCGAGTCATGGATGGTACAGGTCAGTGCCCTACTTCTTCTTTCTCAGTTTTTTGTTTTGCAAAGTTTCTATCATAAAACCAAACTGTGCCAGATTTGAGACAAACGAAGAGGGATTTTCCAGCCTTGCCCCACTGGGTCTTTCCAGACTTCAAACTGGCCAAACATCCAGAAAGATGCAGTTGAATAAACCCCTTCCAAACGGTGTCCCCAGTGACAAGCTCGGCCACCAGCTGTTCAAGCCCCGGGATTCATTTCCTGTTTTGTATTCAAAGCACATTTGGGGGAATATAAATTAGTGCGGCCACTATGGAAAAGAGTACGGAGGTTCCTCGAAAAGACTAAAAATAGAGCTACGATATGATCCAGCGATCCCACTGCTGGGTGTGTGCAAAGAAAGGAGATCGGTGGATCAAAGGGAGAGCTACACGCCACGATTACTGCAGCTCTCTTCACAACAGCCAAATGTGGCCTCAACCTGAGTGCCCGTGGGCGGACGGACGGACAGAGGACACACGGTGCATGTACAAGACGCAATACTATTCCGCCACGGAAAAGAATGAAATCCTGTCATTTGCAGCGCCAGGGGCTGGAACTAGAGGTCATTATGTCAAGTGAAATAAGCCAAGCACAGAAAGACAAATATTTGGATCTCGTGCAGGTGGAGAGTGGATTGCTGGTTACCAGAGGCCGGGAAGAGGAGTGGGGAGGGGATGAAGAGAATTTGATTAAGTGGTACCAAAACACAGTTCAGCAGAAGAAATAAGACCCAGTGTTTGATAAATCAACTATAGTAAACAATACTCTATCGTGTATTTCAAAATAGCTAGTAGAGAATAATGGGAATGTTCCCAGCATTAAAAAAAAAAGATAAATGCTTAAGGTGACAAATATCCCAACCACCTGATCTGATTATTACGCATTATATGACTGTATCAAAATACCACATACACCCCAAAAATATGTACTAATTTTAAAAATTAGACAAATTTTTTAAAAAGCACATTGTGTACTGGCTACAGAATCAATCGGAGAACACCAGTGTGTTTGCTTTTGAAAAATGATGATTTTTGCCATAAACTTGACCCAGCACCAGCACTGGAATCCAGGGGTGACCTCAGGTCCCTGCCCCAGGGCCTCGTGGACTGTGGCTGACTTTCCGGCAGCCTCGTGGTCTTCATTCTGGCCCCAGAGGGGACTTTCGCAGTGGGGATGGAGGACAAGGCCCACCCACTAACACAGATTTTGCCTGAGAATCACGGCAGAGAGAAAATCTCCATCCTTCCTCTTAGAAAACACAGAAGTCCTGGCGTCGTGGCTCATGTCTGTAATCCCAGCACTTTGGGAGGCCGAGGCGGGGGGATCACTTGAGGCCAGGATTTCAAGACCAACCTGAGCAAGGGAGAGACCCCCTCTCTACAAAAAAATAGAAAAACTAGCCAGGCGTGGTGGTGTCTGTAGTACCAGCTAGTTGGGAGGCTGAGGCAGGAGGATCACTTGAGCCCAGGAGTTGGAGGCTGCAGTGAGCTGTGATGACACCACTGCACTCCAGCCTGGGTAACAGAGACCTTGTCTCAAAAAAAAAAAAGAACAGAAAAGTCTCCCTCCTGGGATCTGCGTCCTGTTTCTGTGACTTATCACTGATGTGTTTTGTTTTAGCACAAGAAGACCTACAGCTCTGGGGAGTACAACCACCGGCTGCAGACGTTCGTCAGCAACTGGAGGAAGATAAACGCCCACAACAGCAGGAACCGCACATTCGAAAGTACGTGGACCCCTTTCCTCCAGGGCCCCCGGGGGGAAAAGGCATGTCGGAATCGGAAGGGACTCAGTTGGTGGAAGGCCCCCGGGGGCTTGTCGGTAGAGGGGGCAGCAGCCCAGGCTGAGGGGCTGTATCCGGCTGACCGCAGGCTGTGCCTCTCTCCGTGAGGTAGACTGTAAGCTCAGGACAAAGGGGTAGCTGTGAAGTTGACGGGGGGCTCTGTGGAAGCCCCTGCCCGGTTCCGCCCAGATGCTGGGGGGGCGGTGCCCCTCCAGACTGGCTGGAAGCCGGGAGCAGCCTCTGGGGACCTGCGCCTTCGCTGCGGATCAGTTTCACTAGAAACATGTGCGTGCACCGGTGTGTTTACTGAGGGCTCAGAAACGCCGCAGTTCGGCCAAGTTTGTAATAAAGGCAGGAAGCAGGAACTGGAGACCTGGGTTTGACCTGCACCTGTGCCCGGCACTGGCCTGTGACCTGGGGGAGGGAACGTGGGCTGTGACGTGGGGACGGGAACGCCCCGCGCGGGCTGCTGGAAGGGCAAACAGGCAGCAGGTGGCCCAGGCGGCGGCTCCTTACCTGGACATCCCCCGGCCCTCACCTGTGGGGCATCGCACACAAGGAGCGCCCGGTTCTCGCGCAGACCGAGCGCATCGGCCCGGACGTCATGCTGTCGAAAAGCTCCCCGGCGTCGGGGAAGCGCAGTGAGGGTCGACCTTGGGTGCCGAATTATATGAAATATAAGCATTTAAAAGAGCCAAGTTGCGGGGGCTGCAAGCAGGACGCGGTGAAAGGGCTCTTGTCTGTGAGGGATGCACTAAGCTGCTCTGTTTTGTTTCTTCCCTTCTCTTTGCCAGTGGCGCTGAACCAATTTTCAGATATGAGCTTTGCTGAATTTAAACGCAAGTATCTTTGGTCAGAGCCTCAGGTGAGTCTAAGTCATTGCAACCAAATCCGAATCTTTTTTACTGAGATCTTTGGACTAAATCTGGACGCTGCTCTGTTTGTGGGCAGATCCAGTCCCGTCCCCAGCCGCAGCAAGGGGCGTCCCAGAGTGTTTGGGGAGCCAGCAGGGTCAGCCCACGGCCTCGGCCACGTGGACCTTGGGGTGACCGGACAACATGCAGACGCTCAGTTAGAATTGAGTTTCAGATAAACAACAAATAATTTTTAGCATAAGTATGTCCTAGATATTGCATGAGACATACTTACACTACAGAGTTATTCACCGTTCACCTGAAATTCAAATTTAATTAGGTGAACTGCATTTTTTTTGGCTAAATCTGGCTGCCCTGTGGTAACCCCCCGCCTGGGCTCTCAAAGGGGCCTGTCGTTCAGCATTTGGGACCAACAGGCGGGGCGGGGGGGACGGTTCTGACATCTACAGCAGTTCTCATTCTGTCTTGCGGATTGCATTTTTGCACCTTTTTTGGTCAGGAAGGTTTCGGGGGATTTCTTTTTCCTGAAAACGATGTGTTTGGTTGTTCCAGAACTGCTCAGCCACCAAAAGCAACTACCTTCGGGGCACTGGTCCCTACCCGCCTTCCGTGGACTGGCGGAAAAAAGGAAATTTCGTGTCACCAGTGAAAAATCAGGTAGGCACGGACAGTCCCCATCCTTTCCCCCTGAAAACAGCTGCGTTCCCAGGCTGCGTGCCAGGAAGAAAACCCAAAAGGGCTGCAGAAGCACCTCAAGCACGTCCCGGCTCTGGTTTTCCTCACCGCCTCCCCAGCATCTTCCCGCTCTGGCGGCGGCAACTTTCTCTTTGTTGGGCTGCAGTTTACTCCTCCCCCGACCCACGCACAGACCTGACTTCCCCTTTGGTCCCAGGTCTCTCCTGCAGGCACCCAAAGCTCGTGCCCATCAGAGATTGGACACCAGGCCCATTCCTGCCGCCCACGTGTCACCTCTGCCCATCTCCCTCTCTTCCAGCCACCAGGGTCTGGCCCCTCCGCTGGCGGTTGCCTCCCAGTGGTCAGGGAACAGTGGGTTTCCCCTGCCCTCTCCCTGGGGCAGAGCACCCCTGCGGGGCGCATGGCCCTGCCTCCCGCCGTGCTGGGAGCTGAGGACGGGCTGGAGCGTGGGGTCCTAGCGCATGCTCTGCTCGGCAGGGCTGGACCCCACCCATGGCTGCTGTTGCCTCCGCCCCTGTGGTCCCTCCCCCAGCAGGCATGGGGCAGTGGCCCTCTGCAGAAGGATTCCAGCCTCTCCATTCCAGGAAAGGCGCGGTTAAGGCTTCCTTCCTGGAAACTCTTGGCTTTCCACTGAAACTCTCCACGAGAAACATTTTTTCGCTTTCCAAACAATCATGGGGCAGAGCCTCAAACCTGCCAGGCGCACCGTGTTCCTGGAGCCTGCCACGTGATGTGGATGTTTAAACAAGCACCCGGCAGCCAAAGTATTACTACATCTCCCTTCGCAGCAGGAAGTGGCGGGGGGAGCCCGCCCTCGCCCCCGTGACCCCGGGGCAGTGTGTAGGCCCTCTGGGAACCACGTCCAAAGCAGCAAGTATTAAGTGTGCAACCCTAAACCTGCTCACCACGTGGACAGGTGGGAAGGGGATGTGGGAAGGACTGTCCAAGTCGTCCTTTTAGCTGATGCCAGCAGACAGGCCCTGGCCACTGGCTCGGGGGGCAGGAGAGGTGTGCGGGGTGTCTCACTGCGGCCTCTACGTGGGGACAGACGGCGGCCCCTTCAAGGCTTGTCACCTTGCGGAGGGGAACCTTGGAGGGGACGTGGCTTGCCTGAGCTCCCAAGTACGCAGGTGACAGAGGGGACTCAAAACCAGGCCTCACACCAAGTCCAGTGCCCGAGGCTCAGCCCCGCTCGGCCTCCTTCAGCAGCAAGCGTGGTCGTGGCCACGTGGCCACGCCGGCCTCCCCGCTGGGGAGGGTTTGAGGGAGGAGCTGGGGGGACAGCGCGAAGGCTCTGTCCGGGGAGACCAGCGACGAGCTGGGCTGGGCTGGGCAGCGCTGGGTGGCAGGGTGGGGTCCAGGGCATCTCAGGAGTAGGCGAGAGGCTGAACCAGCGAGGAGAGGGGGAGAGAGAAGCCGTCACAGCAGCTGGCGCTGGGGTGGCTGCCCGACAGGCAGGGTCTTAGCTCTGGCTCACGGCGCCGCACGAGGCCGGTGCCTTGCCGTGCCTGTTCTGCAAATGATGAGGCTGAGGCTTCGAGAAGGGAAGTAGCTTGCCCAGGTCACCCGCTAGCATGTGGGGAACTGAGACTTGAACCACGCCAAGCCCTCGCGATACCCTGGCAGTGCCCGGAGCAGGGGCCAGGCAGCAGCAGCGACGGTGGCAGGAGGTGGTGAGACAGGTGGACGGGGCAGGACCCCCGAGTCCGGGGTGTCGGGACCCCTGGGGCGGCTCCTCTGGCAGGCAGTGTGGGGTCCAGCCCGGGCGCACGTCAGGGCTGGGGTTTGGGGAGCCGTTGACTTAACAGTTAGGACTGCGGGCAGAACAAGGAGGCAGAGGGTTCTAGAAACAGAACACTGGGAAATCTTTCTGCTGGGAAACCGCGGGAGAGGAGTGAGCAGCAGATTCAGGAGGAGGAGGGCCCAAGACTCCAGAAGGGTTGGGGGCTCCGGGCCTCAAGGGGTGGGGCTGGCCGGCAGGAGCCAGCTCGGGGGTCCACAGCGCCGGTCAGGGGCTCCCGCCCCTCCTGCTCCTTTGCGAGCTGCGGGCGCCTGGAGGGAGAAGGGCGCAGCCTTGCAGACGCCGCCTCGGGGTGTCCCAGCTCTGACCTCCTTTCCAGGGCGGCTGCGGCAGCTGCTGGACTTTCTCCACCACGGGGGCCCTGGAGTCGGCCGTTGCCATCGCGAGTGGGAAGATGCTCTCTTTGGTAAGGGATCAGCTGGGTGAGAAGCCTCCTCCTGCAGGGCGCGCCCCGTGGCCTGCTGGGGGGCCGGGCCTCCCTTGGGTGCTGTTCGGTGGACCTCAGTGTTCCAGCCCTTGGACATGCGGCGTGAGAACCGCGGTTGATGCTTTTCCTAGAAAGGATGGAGGTTCATGGAGGAAACGGCCCACGGGCTCATTCCCAGATGGACGGGGTTGGCAACCTGGGCCTTCACCTGGGGAGGGGCTGGAGCGGCCCTCGGGGGCTGTGCCCCTTCCCAAGCTGCCTCGGTTGTGCTCGTGGAGGGAAGGGCTGGGACCTAGACAGCCACCCCGACCCCCGAGAGAGGCCACGGCCCCGAAGGGACCGACCAGCCCCGCCCCTGTGGGAGGAGAGTGCCGGGGCGAGGCCGCTAAGGCCGTGGGTGGGGGATGGGGGCAGGGTCTCTGGCTGGGCCCGCCCCCCACCGTGCACCCCCGACCCGCACTGTGCGCACACCTGGGGCAGGTGCGCAGAGCCCACTCTCGCCCGCTCACCTGCCCACGCGGCTGCCCCTGCTGCCAAGCCGCTCCCGCCGCGTGTGGCCACTGGGAGGGCACCTGGGGACGCAGAGGCAGCCCCTGGCCAGGGGAGCTGAGGGTCTGGTCACCTTGACCCCGGGCTGACGGGGCCACAGCTGAGGCTCAGCGGGGGGTGCAGGGGCCTCTCGGCCTCCAGCTCAGGGGTCTATGTCCCCCCCCCGCAGGCAGAGCAGCAGCTGGTGGACTGCGCCAAGGACTTCAACAACCACGGCTGCCAGGGGTACGTGCTGGCCAGGACGGCCTGACCCCTTCTCCTTGGCGTGAGTCACGTCTCTGGGACGTGGTGTCTGCCCAGACGTAACCACCGCTGCCCTCCGTCTGCAGGGGTGGCGTCACCTGTCATCACTGGGTCTCTTGGCCAGGACAGGGCGGGGCTGGAGTCAGGCCAGGCCCCTCTTGTTCCAAATCCGTCCTCTTCTCACCCTACTCCCAAGGCCCCTGGGCGAGTGGCGAAAGGAGTTAGTGGGGTGAGGAATGGGTCATCGCAGGGACCCGGCTGGCCTGTCCCGGCTGGCCTGCAGACAGGTTCCCTGAGGGCTGGCGCCCGGCTGGGCTGCGAGGCCCCTCCCTGCCCGGGACTTTGCCGCCTACCCTCCGCGGGTTGTGGGAATCGGCTCTCGTTTCTACACTGACTCGGGCCCTCACCTTGCCCCGCACTCGTGGTGCTTGGAGACGTTCTGTGGGGACCGCGCCGCTTTCCTGGCACGTGATGTGCGTAAAGCCGGGCCCTCGGGGCGGCCCAGCCCCTCTGTCCAGCTTGGTGCCTCCTCCCACAGGCCCAGCCGTCTGCGCAGGGACCCGCGTCCTGCTCGGCGCCCCCACCTGGTCTCGTTCCCTCCGCGGCGCAGAAACACCACCCCTGGCGGGAGTCTGGCCGAGGCGTGCGGGGCTCCCCCATGTTTCTGTCTCCGGCCGTGGTTCGGGGCAATCCTTCCTTCCTTCATGCACGCGGCAGATGGCACACGGCAGATGGCACGCAGCACCCGCCACGTGTGTGGGCTCCGGGGATGCCGTGCTCAGGGCGAGGGCGTCCTGGCGGGGCAGACAGAGCGTGGACGGCGCACACTCGGTCTGGGGCTGCAGGGGCTGTGGGGGGAGAGCAGAGCAGGGGCTGAGTCTCTGTCACTCCGGAGGCAGCATTCGGAACCACACCTGACCCGGGCTGCGCAGCCCTGGCGAGCTGTCGGTGCTTTGCCTCTGGAAGTGGCAGCGTCTACCCCGCGGGGTGGACGCAAGGGGTCAGGCAGTCGTGGGCAGGAGCGCCCGCCCGGGGGCACCCGCTCCTCCTGGCAGGGCCTGACTCCCAGGCGTCTCTGCCCCGCTGAGGCACCTTTGCTGGTCTGTGGACTCTGGCGGCCTCGCGTGACTTTGCTGAGTTTATAATCTTTAGGCCAGGCAGGCGGGGCCGCGGTGCCAGCCTCTCAGAGACCCCCAGAGACCCCCCCCCGCCACTGGGACGTGCCCAGCAAGACCCCAGCCGGCCGGGGCGAACGTCCGTCCACTGCAGCTCCGCAGGCCCCACCCCTCTGGGGACGGTCCCCGGTGACATCTGTGTGCTTCTCGCAGGGGCCTCCCCAGCCAGGCCTTCGAGTACATCCTGTACAACAAGGGCATCATGGGGGAGGACGCCTACCCCTACCAGGGCAAGGTAATCCTGAGCGGCCGGCTCTGTCTCTGTGGCCTCGAGCCCCATCCGCGCCCCCGCCCAGCCTCAGAAGGGACCCTTCTCCCCGCCCGCCCCGGCCCAGCCCCGCCGGAATTCCCAGAACAGTCTGCGCCCTTCAGAGTAGAGTCCGCCCGCCCCGCCGCTGGCGCCTGAGCCCAGGGGCGGCTCAGCACCCTCCCCCAGCCCCCACTGCGGCGGCGCCTGAGACCCTCCCACGCCCAGCCCAGCCGCCCTGCCCTCCCTGTCCTGCCCCTCCCGTGGTGGGCGCCCTCCAGTGGGCACCATGCTCTGGCCTCGTTCCTGCCCGTCTGTGGGGTTGCTGCCCTGGGCCCTGCCCACGTCGCCCAAGCCTGCGGGGGCACCCCCAGCCCAAGCCCCGCCCTCCAGCCTCCATAGACCACCGCGGACCCTCTCGCTCGGGCGCTTTGGCGCAGCTGTGTCCCTGCTCCGCTCAGACCTGGGCCTCCCGCCCATCGTCCGGGTCACTGAGCGTGGCCTCCCCTGGGCCTCCCGGCCCCGTCCCGGCCACAGGCCTGCCGAGGTCAGGACTCTGCCAAGTCTCCGCCGGCCTTTGGGACGAAGCCCAGACTCTTCGGCCCAATCAGTGCTTCCCGTGTCTCTCCTTTGTTCTCCCTGTTAACCTCCTGCCAGGCCCGCCTGTCCTCCCTCCGCTCCCGCCCCTGTCACCCCAGCTCCTCCCCTGCCTCCCTGGGCTCCTGCTTCCCTCCTGTGACCTCACCCCTGCGCCGGCCTCTTGGCGGCGGCGTTCCCTGGCTGCCGCGCAGGCTCTGCCAAGGCAGGACTGTCTGGCCTTCGACCCCGGGCTCCCCGGGACAGCACGCGCCGGTTCTCTCTGAAGCCACCCGGGCCCTGGCGCGTGGGGCTTTTGCTCAGTGAAACTTATCAAGCCGCGCGGGGAGGCTGAGGTGAGTCGGCCTCGGGCCAAGTGTCCCTGACCCATACCCTGCCCTTCGCACCCGAACAGGACGGGACCTGCAAGTTCCAGCCGGAAAAGGCCATCGCGTTCGTCAAGGACGTAGCCAACATCACCATCGTAAGTACGGCTCCTGCTCTCGGGCGGGAGTGTGGCGGCCGTGTCCGCGGCGGTCGGGCGGCCCCTCCCTTGACGGGAGAGTTTGGATCACGGTGGGCCACGACTGCAGCGTGGAGGACGTGGCGGCGGGGGGCACGGCACAGACCGGCAGGCGGACGCCCTGGTTCTGACTCAGGTCTGCGCACGTCTCCGTGACTGCGGTTCTGTTTCCTTGTCTGTGAACGCGGCGAGGGCCCGTCCTGCAGGAGAGGGTGTGAGCGCGTGCGTGAGGCTGGGCAGGGCCGTGAGGTGGCCGGGACAAACCAGGCCCTGCCGCAGTGACAGCTCAGCCTGGCCCATCGAAGCGACGTGGCTGAGCGGGCTGGGCCGTGTCCTTGGCCTCCCTGAGTCCCGGGCAGGGGAGGGAGCGGGGAGTGAGCCACCAAATGCCAGATGAGCCGCCGCACCGCCCCTGGGTGGACGGGGACGTGCAGCTGCTTGCGAACAGCCCCTGAGCCCTAAGAGCTGGGGGTGGGGGTGGGGGAGCGTCCACCTGGTGTGAGGTGTGGGCCCACGAACGCACGTGTGGGTCACCCACGTGAGGTCTGGCGGTGACAGTGTCGGCCGGTGACGCATGTGCCGAGTTCTCAGCAATAACCGCAGTTCGAGTTCGACTTTCGGGCGGACTGACGGGTCCTACGCCGGCCACTGACCACGCGCTGTCCCCTCAGACTCAAATAGCCCTGGGAGATGGGTGCCGTTGTCACCTCGTTTTGTAGACGAGGAAGCAGGGCTCAGAGTGGTTAAGGGACGTGCCGGAGGCCACAGAGCCAGGCAGTGGAAGCCCAGTTGAACCGAGAGCGTGTCCCCAGAACCAGGGCCGTCCGTCGCTGCCACGGCAGGCAGCCCACGCCCGTGACAGGGCTGTGACCGTTCGGAAGGTGGCCGTGTCTGTCGGACGCACCCGCCACGGCCGGCCAGGCTGCTTCCCACCGAGGTTGGTCAGCAGCTCACAGGTGTCCCTGCTGGCGACTCCTGCGGGGGGAGATCCCGGCCAGACCTGGCGCTCAGCCCCCCGGCGGGTTGGGGAATTGTTGCGGCCCCGGGGTTGGGGGCCCGTTGCGGGCGGCCCTTCCCCGTTGGGGGTTTGGCTTGTCCTGTGTGGCTGGCGGGGGTGTCCGTTTTCTTTGGAGGCGGGTCTGTTTGCTTTGCTTGGGGGTGTCTGCCCGGTGCTGGGTGGGGGTGGCCTGGTGTCCTTCCCTTCGGCCCTGGCCTTGGCGCACATAGCTCCCACCCGTCTGTGCTCCTGGGGCCTCTTCCTTAGCGCTCTCCGACCCGGCCACCCCACAGACGCCCATGGGTGGTCGGGGTGCAGCCTGGGCGTGGGCGTTTTTGGAGGCCCCCAGGTGGTTCTGCTGCCGCTCTCACCTGGTCTCCACGGCTGTGTTCCAAAGCTGCCGCCTCCAGGCAGCTGCCTTGATTTCCCCCCTCCTGCCTCCCCCCGGGTCCTGCTGAGAAGCCGCACAGCCCTTTGCTGGGTCTCCCCTTGTTTCCGCCGCACCTGGGACTTACCTGTTCGTGGGCTGACAGCCTCTGTGTTCCACCTGCGAAGCTCTGCAGACGGGCTTTGTGGGCGCAGGGCGTGCTGGGCGGGCGTGGGGGCGTCACACCGTCTCTGCACCACTGGGGGTGCTGGCCCGGGGAGGACGTCAGCCGATGGCTGTGAGTGAGTGTGGGGTCCACGCTGCACCCCATGGCCCCATCCCGGAGGGTGTGGGGCTTCCTGGAGCTGAGCAGGGAGGGGACAAGACGTGACCAGACAGATCAGCCTGTGAGGCGGGGAGGGAGGCCACAGGGAGCCAGCGCGGTGCGGGAGGAAGGACCTGCCTCCAAGCGCAAAGCCCAGAGGATCGCGGCCTCTGTCCCAGCGTGCGGCTCCCCCGTGGCTGCCTTTGGTCTCGTCCCTCCTCCTGGCCACCTGTGCTGCTCTGGGCTCCCAGCCCCTACCTGGGGGCCAAAGGCGGCATTTTGGAAGTGGGGTGGAGGTGATGAGGTCACGTGTGTCTCTCGCTCGGTCTTTGTCTGCAGTACGACGAGGAGGCGATGGTGGAGGCCGTGGCCCTGTACAACCCCGTGAGCTTTGCTTTCGAGGTCACCGACGACTTCCTGCTGTACAGACGGGGCGTCTACTCCAGGTGCGGCGGGCTGGGCGGGCTGGGCGGGCGCTGGGGACGCGGGCGCAGCCTGGCTCCTGGTGGGACCACGCGCGACACCTCCCGAGGGTGGTGTCTTACACACTCCCGCGGTGGGTCCCGGCCGCCCTCCGTCGCCAGCAGAGGGGAGAGAGGCTCGGGGAGATGCCAGCCAGGGCCAGGGCCGAGACGCGGGAGCTGCGTCCTCCTCGGCAGAATGGCTGCCTCCGGTTCGGAAAACCCACGTTCGACGTCTGAGGATGCAGGGCGGGGAAGAGCGTCGCGGCTCTCGAAACCAGTCCTGAGCTGGAGTCACTAGAGGGGTCTTGGGGGAAACCGAGCTCCGCACCCCGCGTCTGGGTCGGTCTCGCCGGCACCTGCCGGTTCGCTCCGCTGGGCGTCCTGCCAGCCGCTGCCCACGCTCCCGGACGCTCCCGCGTGGTCTCCTATTTTCCAGACCCTCTGAGACACTGCTGCTCCCCAGGGCTCCGCCCTCGGCCGCCTGGTGCTCAGGCTGCCATAACCCCACGGCCGTGCGGAGCGTCAGGCCCGGGCACAGTTCTACGGGCCTCCCGCCACCTCCGCCCGGACGGCCCCTGGGAACCTCGAACCGCGGATCTTCAGGCTTCGGGTCTCGCCAGCCCGGCCCTCCCTCACCCAGGTCCCGTCCCTGCCGCACCAGGGGAGGCCGCCCCCTCCCCGCCCACTCGGGGGGCCTGGTAGTTTCAGGGGTGTCCTCTGCCCCCCCGGGGAGCCTTCCTTGGCCCCACCACCACCACCGCTGACTTGGGTGGCCCTCCTGGGGCCCCCTGCCCTCCCCACCGTCACAGCCCTCGGGCCGCTCTGCCAGACGCAGCTTCTCCGCGGGACGGCAGGGTTGTGCGCCCGGCCCCAGCGCGCCGTGGCTCGGCTGCACATCAGCCGAATTCACACCTTGAGCTTCTTGACGCTTCCTAACGGAAGCTAGTTCACCATCGTGAATGGAAAACTGGTATTTTTGCCACAAATATAAAGTAATCTTTAAAACAATTGCAGCGGCAAGACAGCAATGCTGGGGTGCGTTCTCGCTGGGCGCCGCTGCCCGCAGGAGGGGCGGCGGGAGGGCGGAAGGAGGTTGGAGAAACCTGCGCTAGGGCCGGGCCAGCGCCCCGACACGGTCTCCTGGCGAGATTGTCTCCCACGGTGACGGAGGAGTCAACTCCCGCCTCACCTGCCCCAGGACTGCTTTGGGAAACTGAGTCGGCACTTGCGTCCTTGGCGCGTTTTCAGCCCTTTCCCGTTTGTCTTCCAGCACTTCCTGCCATAAAACTCCGGACAAGGTGAACCACGCGGTGCTGGCTGTCGGGTACGGAGAGGAGAGGGGGACACCTTACTGGATCGTGAAGAACTCCTGGGGTCCCCAGTGGGGCATGAACGGGTGAGCTGTGGGCCCCTGGCCATGGGGGCGTCTCCTCCCCCCAGGCTCTCGGCTTCAGGCGGAGCTGGCCGGGGGAGGGGACGGCGAGAATGTGGCCTCCACACCCCGGACCCCTCTCAGCCGCTCCTCACGGGCCCAGGCCTCAGCGACTCTGCGTAGGGAGCAGGGGCTGGAAGGGTCTGGAACCGCTGCCACTCGGGACCCTGCTGGGATGACCTCAGTGTCAGGGACGCCCCTCCCCTCGTTGGGAAATCAAGGCACCAGATTCTCCCCGATTACTGACGGCCCCTCCTTCGCGGACAGGGCTGGAATCGGGAGGCTGAGGGTATTTGCTAGTGTGACTTTGTCCAGTTCCCACCCCAGGAGGACTGTCGCTGTCACCTGGGGGCCTGGTGCTGATTAAGTAGCTGGGGAGGGTGCTGCCGGGGTGAGAAGGGGCCTCGGCAAACTCTGCAGAGGTGTTCGGCGGCCGAGGCTACGGAAGCCTAAGTTATTCACAGAGCCAGGTCCGTAATTTCCTGCGCCGCCGTTCTGTGAATAACCTCAGAGGAGCCAGAGCTGCTGAGGAAGCCCCGGCCAGGCCTCAGCTCCTCTCTCTGCCCAGGTACTTCCTCATCGAGCGCGGGAAGAACATGTGCGGTCTGGCCGCCTGCGCGTCCTACCCCATCCCGCTGGTGTGAGCCGCGGCGGCCGCGACCGGCTGGCGGAGAAGGAGCGGGACGGGCAGCCGGGGCCCGCGGTGGAAACCCTGCTCGGGGGAGCTGTGGGGAGACCCCCGGGGCCCCTCCGTTTCCACCCTCACCCTAAGCGGAGCCGGGAACCTGAAGAAGAGGAAGAAGGTTCGAGCTCACCCTCGTCTTCGGACGCGAAGACGGTCACCAGCCCTGTGCCTTACGCGCGGTTTGTAACCGGCTCAAACCACGTGGGCCAAGTCCTTCCTCCCAGAGGGGCTCACGTGTCGAGGAAATCCTCGACGATCCTACCGTGTTCTTTGTTCAATAAACACGCGGCGAGCACCGCCTGGCCGGGCCTGTGCTGTGTGCGGGGGCTGTCCGGGGCTCAGTCCCAGGTGGGAAGTGCCCGGGGCTCTGGCCGGAGCGGGGCGTGGAGGCCGGGGCTCCCAGGAGGAGGAGCAGGTCTAACTTCAGGTCTTGACCACCCACTCCGAACCCGCTGGGGGGGCGGGAGGGAGCAGCAGCAGGATTCCGGCTCCAGCACACGCGGGACTCGAGCCCACAACGTCAGGCCGGAAGCCCGTACGATCCCCGTCTGGGCCGCACCCCCCCGTTTCTCGAGCTTACAAACTAATGAACCCAAACAGGCCACTGTTAATCACTCTGATTACGTAATTTATTTAAAGGAAAGATTCTGGACAAAGTTCTGCAGCAGTTTAGATGATCACAAAAAGTCAAGTGACTGTTTTCAAAGCGAACTCCCCGGGGGGTTTGGGCGCTCGGCGGGACGGCGGCCGTGGGTGGGACCCACCCGGGCTCTGGGCGGACGTTCTCTCCTGCGGGCGGCGGCTGTGGGTCTCACACGAGGGCTGCGCGGGCCCCCGTCACCGCGCAGAATGTGAGCTGAGCGCACTTTCCCTCCGGTGCCAGCGCCGGGGAGCAGCGGGGACGTTTGCGGCGTCCCGCGTAGGCGCCACCGTTGAGAAACAGGCCGATGGCCCAGGCCTCGGTGCTGCTGAGGTTTAAAGAGCTCGGCTGTATCCAGCTGGGGTGAATGAATTAATCCCAAATGCGCTTGGCCCCAGAGGACCCAGAAGAGAGCCTGGCGCCCTCAGGTGCTGCCTCACTGGTCTCGGCCGTCACCCCTGTCCCCCACCCTGTGACGGGCCCCGTGCTGACCCCAGGGGTCCGAGGCTTGTGGGACACATCTCTGGCACCAAGGAGCACCCATTCTTGGGGGACAGCAAAGAGTAAGAAAAACCAAAAATCAGTTAAAGTCCAAAGGTTAAAAATAAAAAACACTACAGACCGATGTCCCTGATCAATATGGGCATGAAAACCCTCAATAAAATCCTGGCAACCTGGATCCAGCAACATATAAAAAGGGTTATATACCCTGACCAAGTGGTGTTTGTACCAGGAATAAAAGATCGACTCAGCATACGAGAGAGGATCAGTGTGATGTGCCACCCTCATGGAATAGCGGGGCCCGGCGCGGTGGCGCGGTCGGGAGGCTGAGGAGGGAGGATCGCTTGAGCCCAGGCGTTCGAGGCTGCAGGGAGCAGTGATGATGCCTCCAGCCTGGGCGTTAGAGACTCGTCTGAAAAATATCTGTATATATATAGAATAAAGGACAAACCTGCATGATCATCCCAAAAGACGGAGAAAACACATTTGAACAAAACCCAACACCCTTTCGTGACAAAAACACTGAAAAGGAACAGAGGGGAAACCCTCAGCCCGACAGAGGGCGTCTGTGGGAAACTGAGAGTTAACACACCTGACGGCAGAAGCCGGAAGCTCTCCCTCCTCCCCAGACCAAGGACGGACGAGGATGTTCGCGTCGCCACTCGCTGCCATGCGGGAGGCTCCAGCCGGGCACTTGGGCAAGAAAAAGACACAAAAGACGTCCAGATCGGAAAGGAGGACATAAAACTGTCTCTATTCACAGGTGACGTCGTGTATGTAGAAAATCCTGAGAAATCCACACACACGAAATTGTCAGAGCTAATAAACTGCTTAAGCTACGTTGCAGACACAAGACGAACACACAAAACTCAACGGTATTTCTATGTACTAGCAATGAACAAGCCACAGGTAAGAAACATTTTTTTGAGTCTTTTGTTTATCTGGGGGGAAGCCAAGGTCAAGATTTTATAAATGAGTAATAAGAATACATTATTTCGCAAGTGAAAATGTATAAAATGTCAGCCCTTAAAACGGGGTACCAGTTTTATATCGATTCTATTTGTAATAGAATCAACAGGAACAAAATAACTAGGAAAAAATCAATGACATAAGACTTGTACACTGAAAACTATAAAATATTATGGAATGAAATTGAAGACCTAAGTAAGTGGGAAAACATCCCAAGTTCATGGATTAGAAGACTTAACATCGTAAGACGGTAATATCCCCAAACGATCTACAGAGTCAATGCGATTCCCTTTAAAATCGCAGCTGACTTCTTTTCAGAAATTGGCAAGCTGATCCTAAAATTCATATGGAAACGCAAGGGACCCAGAGTAGCCAGAACAATCTTGAAGAGGGAGAACAAAGCTGAAGCTCTCAGTCCTCCCAATTTCAAAGTTCACTACCAAGCTGCAGTAATGAAGACATCACGGTACTGACAGAAGCGTAGACGTGTAGAGCAATAGAATAGAATTGAGAGTCCAGAAATAAATCCATAACTTATGGCTGATTGCTGAAAAGGATGCCAAGACAATTGGATGGGGAAAGAATAATCTTTTTAACAAACTGCGCCGGGACAACTGCATGTTGCACGCAGAACAGTGAAGCTGGACCCCTACCTGACATCGTTTGCAAAAACTTACTCAAAATGGATCACAGACCTAAATATGAGAGCTAAAACTAAAAAACTCTTAGAAGGGGTCAATCTTCATGACCTTGGATTTGGTCACGATTTTTAAAATATGACCCCAAAGGCACAGGCAACAAAAGAGAGAGGTAAGCTGGACTTCACTGGAAACGTTAGTGCTTCAAAAGACGCTGTGAAGAGTGAAGGGAAAACCCCAGAACGGGAGAAAACGTTTGCAAATCAGGTGTCTAATCGGGTCTGGGACCCAGAGTATAAGACTCCTACGTCTCGGCAACAAAAAGACGAAACAACCCAATTAAAAATTAACAAAGGACTTGAATAGACATTTCTCCACTCTGCAGATGGCCAATAAGCACGTGGAAAAATGCGCTGACATATCAGTCGTTAAGGAAATGCAACTAAAACCAACAGGACGGAGGGGGACGAGGAGCAGTTTGGTGATTTGTATGCAGTACAGTTAGGCGGAAGGAATCGGCCCCGGTGTTCAGTAGCACAACAGGGAACTACAGTGAACAACAATTCATTGTATGTTTCAAAATAGCTGGAAAAGAAGAATTGTAACGTCCCCAACACAGGGGAAGGGAAAAAACCCTAAAATGAGATAACACTTCGCAGCCACTGGCTACAATAAAAATGGGGACAAGAATCCTCAGTGCAGTGCTGCTGAGGATTTGGAGAAACTGGAACCTTCGTACATTGCCAGTGGGAATGTGACGTGGTGCAGTTGCTTAGGAAAACAGTCTGGCAGTTCCTCAACAAGTTAAATATAGAATTACCATGTACCCCAGGAATGCTGCTCCTAGGAGAATTCAGAACATGTCCCCAAGGCCGGGCGCGGTGGCTCATGCCTGTAATCCCAGCACTCTGGGAGGCCAAGGCGAGAGGATCTGAGGTGGGAGGGTTGCTTCCGCCCAGGAGTTCAAGGTCAGCCTGGGCAACATCGTGAGACCCCATCTCAAAAAATAAATAAGTAAAAATAGGATAAAAATTTTAAATGAAAATGCCATATATCATAAAAGATTTTAACTATATGTTTCGAGAGTTTTCGTGTCCAGGATGTTTGCAGTGTGAAACCAGTCTAGTACCACAGTTTAAATGTAAGAATAAACCACAGTGGGTACTAGGGGAGAAAAAAGGATTTTCTTCCTTCTGGGATGGTTAAATTGGTAGGGCATAACCTAGAGCTGCCAGTGGCCACCTGTTTGTCCACTTCACTGAATTGCAAAAATGCCGAAAATGAAAATGAAGCCAAAACAGAGGAAAGCAGGGTCAAGTGATGCGATATTCCTGAGAACACTGTTTGAGCACCTAGATCCAGCCATGCCTGAAGCTTTCCACATAGAGTTTTCAGTTACATGAGCCAATAAACTCCCTTTTTGTTTGAGCCAGTTTGAGTTGCAACTATCCTTGCAGATGAAACAATCCTGATGAATGCAGTGGGCTATGTTTGAGTGCACAGTGGAAGTCTGTGCACTCAAGACACAAAAATTTCAAGACAATCAGTTACGGAGGCTCAGGGCCTGTCCCTGCCGTGATCATCATTTGTGGGAGAAGCAGGCATCTCCTCCCCAAACTACAGTGTCCGTGACAGTGAGCTGACGCTCCCGCCAGAACATCCAGGGGAAGGAATGTTAATGGAGCCCCACAGCTTTTTGGAACCAGACACACCTGGGTTCAAATCCCGGTTCTCTCTTGAATGTTCTGCGGGACCTGGCAGCGGTCCCCAGCCTTTTTGGCACCAGGGGCCAGTTTCATGGAAGACGATTTTTCCACGGATGGGGGGGGTCCGGGAGGAGGGGAGACGGGGTGGGGAGGCGGAGCTCAGGCTTCGATGTGTGGCCCTGTTGGTGGTACCAGGGCGCCGCCCGGGGGTTGGGGACCGCAGACTTGGAGGGTGTCGCTTACCCTCTCTAAGCCTCCATTTCATTGTCTGCAAGACTGATGTAATCATATTTTCATCACAAGTTTGTGGACAAAATTGAGACAATTTATATAGAAATACCCAGCACCGCCTCTGGCTCTCAGAAAGTGCTGGTTACAAGAGTGTTATCTAGCCCGGCGCGGTGGCTCACGCCTGTAATCCTAGCACTCCTGGGAGGCCGAGGCGGCCGGATTGTTTGGGCTCAGGAGTTCGAGACCAGCCTGAGCAAGAGTGAGACCCCGTCTCTACTAAAAAAAATAGAAAGAAATTAGCTGGACAACTAAAAATAGATAGAAAAAATTAGCCGGGCATGGTGGCGCATGCCTGTAGTCCCAGCTACTCGGGAGGCTGAGGCAGGAGGATCGCTTGAGCCCAGGAGTGTGAGGTTGCTGTGAGCTAGGCTGACGCCACTGCACTCTACCAGGCAACAGAGTGAGACTCTGTCTCAAAAAAAAAAAAAGGAGCATTATCTTCCAACAATCTGTGTTAACATGCGCCAGCGCCAGCCCCGCCCAGGAGGCAAGCCAGGCCATAGCAGGGGCAAGCCAGGTCTAGCAGCTGCAGTCACACACACACTCGCGGCT